ATTTACATAAAATATATTTATATTCTGAGTAATGCAATAATAATGTTTTAGTTTATATGGTAAAAAAAAAGATGTAAAAACTTAATTCGCCCGAACAGGGACTCGAACCCTGGACCGTTAGGTTAAAAGCCTAACGCTCTACCGACTGAGCTATCCGGGCTCCGTAAATTTAGTTTACTAAATTCTTTTAAGGTAGTAATAATACCATAGATTATACTACTTATTATTCTAATTTTTAGTATAGTTTTAATAATAAAATTGTAAATTATAATCAACATTTCAAATATATTCTTTCGTAAGATTGACAATACTTCCTATTTAGTTTGCGCCTGCGTGACCCGTTAATATAGTCTGCGGGAATTCACTTGAAAATATGCGATTGTTGTTGGTCCTAACAGCGAAAGAAAAGTAGTGCAATGAAATAATTTTATCACATATTTTGTGGTATAATAGGATCAAATTGACTTTTGGGGATTGGTTGGACGGAACTGTTGTTGGGGATTTATTTAAATTTATTCAGATTTTGTAGACAGATACTTCAAAATGTTTAGTGGTATATTGCAACATATTTCATATAAATTATACTGGTTGTTTACACATTATATAAAATTTAAAGAATCCTGAGCATAGATAATATCGGCAAATTAATTAATATTGATTACACTAGCTCTTTATGCCAATTATACCAATTTCGTACGTGTGTGTAATTCTTACACCGGAGTACAGTTTTGTTTTATTTTTATTCTCCCCCGTAGTGGCTCAGCAATTTTTGTTTGTATATAAATACAAAGCTGCACAATGGGCTATTTGTGCTCTGCCCACAATGGGTATCGAAACCTGGTTTCTAGCGTTATAAGTTCGCAGACATACCACTACCATGCAGCTCAGCGATAATTATTTAATTTTAATGTACCCTTGTGATATTTTCAGTTAAAACCGGTTTCCCGACAAGTGTCAGATATATTATTCCGCAATAACGGCAGAGTTCACTCAGAACATTTGCGAATATTTTTATGATCGAGATAGTTTGAGTGAGTTCTCTCTTTTGAATAAATGATAACGACTCTGGACATGTTTGAAAAAGAAAACCTAAGTCTTTATTATAATTAACTAAATCAGATTGTAGTGCGCATACTCGTAAAGAACCAGCCGACAGTCCTAGTAAGCGTTTAGTCTTGTAGTCTTCCTTCCTGCAAGATAGAATACCACAATACTAAACACGAATATATTCTAGACTTATTTTAACATAAGTATTCTCCGTAGCTGAACTAGTGAAGGATTGGATAAAGAAAATATGATTATATTGAGAATGTTAACTTGCTTTCTTTGTTAAGTGGACAGAGTCACCTTTATGACCTCTGTTAACTGACACCATTATCCAGCTATCAGTTTCAGTTGACTGGCAAAAATACTACAGTTTCAACTCGATAGATAGTACTGAAATATCCTGCGGGCAGAAGACTTCACCTATCAAAAGAACAAAAGGTGAAGCAATGAGAACACGATAATGTTAGCAATCCTAGACCACATGTTGTCGAAATGACGTGCAGAAGCTAAATAATCAATAATTTGAAGAAAACAAAAATATATGTATAAGTTTCTGAAGAAGAAAAGAGCCTATAATATACCCGCATATCACACCATTATTAATATTGGTTCAATGTTAGATCTTTCATGTCGTTACTATTTGCAAACTTTACACAAATTTAGTTCATGGTTTTAAAATTTGAGTATATATATATGTGTGTGTGTGTGTGTGTGTGTACACTATAGATTCAGCATATGAACAGTTAAATATTTCGTTGGGAAGTCCAGTCAAACTTGTCAAATTTTCAATAAAATACTCCGCAAAATATGACAGAACTAATCGTATTACGTAAATATAATTCACATTTAATATATTTATGGAATGCTATTATGCGTCTGTATATTACATTGTGTGTAAGCAAAAAAACAAACAGGTATTGTAACTTAATAAACATGATATACATCTAATAATTTTCTATCTTTCCCTTCATTTCCCCACATATCAATTTTTCACGTTTTTTTTTGTTTTGTTTGTTTGTTTATAGTCCAAAGGCTTCTTACGACACTGGGACACCTAAGATGCTTATGCATCATTGAATTATTTGGGGGCAGATTTACCAGGCAGCCCATCTCCTCTCCTGCTAGCCGTCCCTAATTTTGGAGTGAAAGACCAGAGGGAAGGTAGCTAGTCAACACCACCTTTTTGGTTACTCTTTTATCCACGAATAGTGGAATTGACCGTCACATTATAACACCCTCATGGCTGAAAGGTCTAGCACATTCTGCAACAGGAATTCGAACCCGCTGATTGCGAGTCGAGCTCCTTACTACCAGGCCATGGGCAGGTCCACCTATCTTTCAGTCAGTATTTTATCAGTGTATTCACCGAGTCATCTCTTGATATATATAAATATATATATATACTAGAAGGAAAATTCCTGCTTCGTGTGCGAAACATTTTTTTTGGTTGTGGTATATTATATTTGAATGCATAAAGTTTACAAAATGTATTTAAATTAATTAAAACAGTTAAGCGACCTGCCTAGACTATTCACGAAGGAGGTTAGGTAAGTAGAGTTCTATACAAATCTGATGGCCGTCTCAATGAATACGAGGTTAAACCTGTTCCACAATACCCACCAAACACCTGTAGAACAAAAAGACACTTTGAGCTAAATAGTGTGATCAAAAATGACAATCCTATCGACTTATCCAGTAAGATACACCAAATCTAGCGACGCTTTTTAAACCTAGGTATAGGGTGACTTCGTCCCTAATCCTAATTTCATTTTTGCATTGTTTAAAGAAGTTTTAAAAGTTGCCCAGGCACGCGCGCACGCACACGCGTTACTCTTTTACTTATATAGATTTATCTAATATTAATGTTTTTATCAGCCCAAGTCTATTTTATATTTCTATCTGTTCATTCTTTCATCAAATGTTTCCTTCTATTCTTTATCCTCATAGGTATCTAATGGTCTTGGGCAGAGCACAGATAGCCCTTGTGTAGCTTTGTGCATAATTAAAAACAAACAATCTAATGGTCGTATATCTATTTGTTTTGTTTGTTAACCTGTGCATCTTATTCATTACTCATCCATTCTTTTTGTCTCTATTATTATTAATTACTAAAAATATACAAAGTATGTGCTAGACACTTCTAATGAGAGACTAGAACATTCTCAGTAGGCCTTTTGTTGTTGTTGTTATTGTTTTTTTCAAAAAATCTACTTTTGATGTAAAGGCCCTGAACTACACATATGAAATGCAAGTCAGAAGTTTAATATGCACAGAAAATTAAGCCCGTATTACATCAAAGTTTAGCTGAAAATAGTCGTGACTATCTAAAGATAACCATATAGTAAAAAATGAGTTCTTAAAAAAAATTATATTTTCTCAAGAAATGAAATTTATTTATAGCCAGTTTGTTTGTTTGTTTTGAATTTCGCGCAAAGCTACACGAGGGCCATCTGCACTAGCCGTCCTTAATTTAGCAGTGTAAGACTAGAGGGAAGGCAACTAGTCATCACCACCCACCGCCAACTCTTGGGCTACTCTTTTACCAACGAATAGTGGGATTGATCGTCACATTATAACGCCCCCACGGCTGAAAGGGGTGAGCATGTTTGGTGGGACGGGGATTCGAACCCGCGACCCTCAAATTGCGAGTCGAGCGCCATAACCACCTGGCCTATTTATAGCCAGACAAAATATTATAATGTTAAATATGTTAGCATGTGACGTAATCTACTTAGTTGCATATATATGCGATTACCTTAAACGAAAATAATGTTACGTTTAGTTCCCAATATCAAACGGAATGTAAAACTAATTTCTTTCCTCAACTCTCTCTACCTGACTTTAATGTAGAATGAGAAAGTACTAGCGCTATCTTTTGAAATATTATTAAAATAACGGTTAACTTTTTTTTTCTGTGTACGTAGTATAAACGTGGGACAGTTTGGTGTCCTTCTCAGCAACTAATATACACAGAAATAGGCACTATTTATTTAAAGGATCAGTTAAAAACAATTCCTATTTCTGCTGGCAATTAGGTAGGCTTTGAGCATACTTTAAATGTGGCATTATTATAAGTAATTCTATAAAAATGTAGTTAATAGTTAAGAAAATAAAGTACAGTAGCACAAGTGTACATATGATTTATTTATTATAACGCTTTCATAATTTATTGATAAAGTACATTTCATAACTCAAGAATTTTACTAAAGAGGGCTGTTTGAAAAACCTAAACTTCCACAAACAGCATTGAATATTATGCAATTTTCGTTTCTCTTAAGTGAAAAAAATTGTACTTAATACCATTTCTGTTACAGAATTATTAAAGGATTTTGTAACAAACAAAGAAAATAACAAAGTTTTATAAACACCACTTAATATGTTTCTAACTTCTAATGAGTGTTAGGTATTGCTTCATAAATTGTTTGGATAATTTTAGGTGATATACATAATTATAGGTAAGTTTTTCAAAGAATCATCTTTTTTAATACAAACTTATGTTTTAAGATCACTGTGATTCAAAGTTTCTTTTGTTACCTAACAGAATAGTATGTGAATCACAAAAATATTATGTTGATGTCAGCTGTTGTTGTAATGCAGAGCTTCTTTGTAAAATGTCTACCAGTATGAACTTATACGTGTGTTTTAACTGTGGTGCAATCCTACACAATGGGCTACCTGTGTTCTGTCCACAATGTGGAATCGAACCCCAGATTGTGGCATTGAAAACCTGCAAACTTATCACTGACCCACTGGGTGACCCTAATTAATTAAATACGATTTGTAACCTATTAGCTGACCCACAGTTTCAACTAGGAAACAAGATACGATAGGATCTTGGGAACTTTCTCATTAACATTAAACCATTTTCAGTTATGTTTTTCCTGTAGAGACGAAACAAAAAAAATCAAAGTGCACGGTTTTTATAAATCTTTATAAAATATACGTTTAAAAACTCAAACTAAATTTTCTTTTATTGGTTACATTGTAAAAAATAACATACAGTTTACAAATGATGCACAAATATCACATTGCTGTCAAAAACATTAAACAAATAAAAAAGAACAACAGTAAAAAGTTTTTGAGATCTAAAAGGTTTAAAACCATTTCATACTACACAGTGTTTTAGTAGTTTTTTAGTTACATAAGGATACATTATAATAATATACATACAATTCACTTGTAGTTTGGAAGAACTGTAGAAATACGACTCTCCAGTCACTATTTGTTTTTTATCTTACATTAAAATATGCAAGTGGTTGTTTGAGACTGACTCATTAGAATCAAGTTTAAACATATAACTCAAGATATAAAAAAACTTTTCAAACATAAATTTATTCTAAAATTCAAAAGCTTGTTTTGCATATTATATTAAACTTAGTACGCTTTTTCCTTTGATGAGATTACCATCTAAAATGTGCCTATAACAGTAAAATAACATTTGCCGTAAATCACTGCATCAGTTACTCGTAGATAATATCCAATTCCGCACCTGAAGACAAACGGGATTCACACACATTGGACACAGTATTTTAAGCTGTTGAGAGCATAGTTCTCCTGACACTAGATGATTTTTTACAATTTCAACCAAAGCCTAAAATAAAGAAATTTGACTTCATAACATTATACATATTGACTCAGTCGTGACAATGATTTTCATAAAAATAAATTCTCACATAAAAAAAATCAAATAATCATTAGTCAATTGTAAGATAGTAAATGTTTGAAAAAAATAAAAAATAATTTGAAATACTGTGAGAACTTGCATGATAAATATGTAAACGGAATAGCATTTAACCTACTATACAGCAAAAAATAGCACTTGGTTAATTACCAAAAAATATCTTGGAGCTCACATACGAATAATTTCCTAATAGAATATTTTACTTAGTTTTTTTTCTCTCTCTCTTCACAACCTCAGACAGTACATAAATAAACATGAACAATTAAATGGAATTTTGTACATTAACAAAGGAATTATGATGTTAACTCATAATGAGCACCAAAGTCAACATCACAACTGCCGAATGAATGCTGCTTTAACTTATGTCAACTTGAATTTGCTCAGCTAATTAGTAATATATAATGCTACTCGAAAAACATCTTTACCCTATGATGGAGAAGCCACTCAGATGTGTTTTCAGATCTTTCTTTACAAAAATAAATATTACCTAGAAGGTTATACACTTGGATCTCTTTAGACTAACCACATGTGTCACGTCTCCACATACGTAAATTAGAAATAACTGATGGTCTCCGATATACCACATATTAAAATCTTCTATGACAATGAAAGACTACACTAAATACAAGTATAATCAATCTAGTAAATGAAACAAAGGGCATTTCTCCCATTGACAATATTTCGTGGCAAATTAAAATCATAAAACAGAATTAAAAAGTTAATTGATTAAATCAGTCCTTTTGGTGATAAAAGAAACAGCAAAATCAAGCCCCAAAAATGCTTAAGTTTTCCAAAAAAAAGCATTCAAGTTGCCTTTAAAGCAAAAATGACCAAATTAAATGGTCTTGTTTGTTATTTCTGAATTTAAATTTGCAGTTAAAAATAACATAACTTAAGGTCAGCAAAATCTATCAAGCATGGTTATCAATGTTCAAATTTCGGGCAAACCGCTTCATTCATTTTTTATTTCATTCCCCCTCCAACCTTTCCATGTCACTATTACTCACTATGAACACTTGGTACAAATAATAACTACTGCATGCATCAAATCTCAAACCTTGGTTCATGCAGGTAACATGCAACATTTCCCTCACTAACCTTTACTGACAGTGGGCAAATGCAATGATACCATTCAATCCCATCACTAACAAAATGATGTAAGTTCCTACTGCCCAAATTAAGTAGATTAGAGAAATACAAAGTTTAAACTGAACACTAGATTTTGCCCTGAAAAATGTCATTCCAAAGGTGAAATGACTTTGTTAGGTTTATCATTTATTCAAACCATAAAAACAACAACAAAAAAACGTGGAAGTATTAAACCAAGTAGTGTTTAAGTTAAGTGCTTACTTGTATAAACACTGGATTGTCATTAGGTGCTGCTACCCTTCGGAAGTTTAATACTCCTAGCTGAAAAATAACAATATTATCACAAAAATATCATTAAATTTTTTTGTTAAAAATTATAATAAATAATTAATTAAAAACAACGTTTTATATTT